ACTTTTCCGGAAGTCGAAGCTACGGCGTTTCGCAAAAATAAAATTCCCTTCTATCGACTATAAGCAAACTGACATATTTTTTTTTTCAGCCATGACAAAGCAAGAGTATTTTTGCACCTCAGTCTCGCTACTTCCGGGGGCTTCCGGGAAAGTCGTCTATGCTAGTATCAGGGGTAATATCTTCTTACTCTCGGGGTTCTCTACACGTGTCTGGGGGGAATCTCGTCTCGTCTCTATATCTCGTCCCCTTGAGGTACGGGATCGGGAAAGTCACTTATACTTTACAGTCAAATAAGACACGCACAACGAACTACGGTTCAACTCTCGTCTTAGTCGGTCTGTGGAGCACTCTATAAGACACAGCGCCCTGGGGAAAAGTCCCCAAGACTATCACAAGGCTGACCCAAGACTAGCCCAAGACTGTGCTTGGACTCGCACCAAGGCTCTCCAGGACTGCTCTAGACTCGACTCTCCAGGACTGCACTCTCTCTACTGCGTCTATCGTGCTGTGCTCCCCAAGACCAACTCAAACTCTCTTTATTCATTTTCAAAACTCTAACCAATTACAATGCAATAAAAAGACTCTAGGGCGTAACCTTCAATCATAAAGCCAATCACACAAAGCACTGAATACGTCATATCTTTTGATTAATCGTTCACTACATTAATAACTATGGATATAAACTGTCAAAATTGATAGTCAGAATATCGACGGATATCTGGTAATTAGTTCCAAATCACTGAGCCAAGTTCCGTCCAAAACTTCAAATAGGCCTAAACGATGACAGACATAACACAGCAATTCAGCTAATAATCAACTAATTAAGTCGGTCAACAGATACGCGAAAACAAATTCATGACACTAGTAACATGTGTTAACTGAACTACGAGGGCGCTTTGTATTATGACAATCACAGTCAGACGTGACATATCAAAACCTTGCTCATGAGAGTCGCAGTCATAAGGGTTTCACGATCACGCTTATAAATAGAAAATTCATTATATTTTTCACAAAACAAAAAAGAAATCCCGACTAATGTACCGTGAAGTAGACTGTCAAAGGGAAGTTACATATCGAGGACAATATCTCATTCAAACGATTTTATCGTATCAATAATGGCCCGACAGTTAACAGAGCTATATCTAGAGCTACATACGTTGATGTAGTACCTATTGTAGTGATCAAATATTTACACCGACGAAATGTCCTCATGCAAACTCCTATTTAGAAGGAAGCAGTTATTCAGTTTGAGGAAAGCACTGCAGGACAAGATTATAATATCAAAACCTACGACAATCTGACAGTGAAAAATACCGATGGTACATGGTGTACGTATAGATACGACGAATACAGTCAATGTACGTCAATTAAGCTCACGACATAAACGTTCACGAACTTGTGCCCGTGCCCAAAGTAAGCTATTTCACTAATTCTGTTCAAATTATAACATTGTTGATATTATTGTTGATATGAATCATAGTGCACTAAAGACTATATATATGCATTTTGATGTTATTATGTCTACGACAGTCGTGCTGAGAGAAAGATGGAAATCGAGGAAGAGCTAGTGGGAGAATTGTTGTCTATGTTAGGAAAGTGTTAAAGGGGTTGCGAAACTGAACGATCAAAGCAAATGATCTTTACATATAAGCAAAAGTAGCGAAAGATATTCCCTTGTTCGTGGCGTACATATCACTAGAGGGCGAGTCATTTTATTACCATAGTGACGAAGCAGATGACATTGTAGCGTTGGAAAAACACAGTGGTCGATGTTATGGCAGGGTCTAACAAAGCCGAAGTTAAAGCGGTGGAGTCGTCACCTGCGCATGCGTCAGATAGTCATAGCGTGTCATTGTTTACAAACAAGCGTCTACCCGCCAGCCTTTGCATTTTAAGCGTGTGTTGTTATCGTCGCTTAGGACTCAATTCCCGCGCGTGCGCAGGTGACGACCCTCCCGCTGTAACATAACAATTATAAGAGTTTTGTTCGCTAGGCCTTTAACCAAGTCTACCTCCGATACGATGACACGCGACACTGTGTCTAGATAAAGCGCCAGTAAGATAAATATTAACACACCATGTATTTCTCATGACACCAACTGTAATAAGTATGGGTTATACTAATTGTCATTATATAATGTACTTTTACAAGTTTCGTTAAAAAGTACGAAATATACGTTAAATTTACATGCGTTACAAAAGACAGTACGGAAATCCAAGTGGCGAGCCACATGGTGTTCAATAATTAAACTTCAATTTCAATTTTGTTTTAAATTTCGTTTGCGATTTCACTTTTATTTTAAATTACGTTTAATAATCTATTTTCATTTTTGAGTTAAATTTTCATCTCATTTTAGATTTCGTTTTCTATTTTTACTTGCATTTTTGCAATTCAAAACTACGAATTAAATACATTGACCCATTTAACGTAAACCCACGCTACTGAATGTATAACCCTTGAACTCGAGCATGGCAACCGAGGTGGCTCGCGTTTTCATGCATTTTCGTTTTTAAAATTTAATTTTGTTTTAAAACCATTTCAGTGCTTTTTTCGAAATTCATTTTCATTATAAAATCCATTTTTATTTTATAACCCATTTCTATTTAATTTAATTTTGTTTTAATTTTAAAATTCATTTAAAAACAATTCCCATTTTGAAATTCGTGTTCGTTTCAAATCCGTTTTTGTTTTGAACCCCATTCCTTGTCCCTTCTTTATTTACTTCAAACACGAAATGAATAAATAAAAACTCACGTTATACCCAAAAATGGGGACTGTCAGCAACGATTGACTCGATGTGACTCGTGCCATACTCCAATCACCGTTAAATGGAAAAGTGAAATGGAAATAGAATTTGAAACGAACATAAAAAAGGGTATAAAATGTATTTTAAAACAACCAAAAACAAAATAGAAATAAAAAAGCTTTAATTCATAACGTGTTTTAGATCTTATTCACAAAAGTTAATCGCGGAAGTTTACAAGATCGTGATTTTTACTTGATCATCAGATCACCTCCATAAATGGTCACTGACAATATAGCATTAAATCATTCACGTCCAAAAAGTGTTTCGTCATTGGTGGGCGCGATTTCTAGAAAAGAAGAACAGCCCGAATCTCCTTTAGTACGCGACTAATCGCTGGCGAAATATATTTTTTGAGCACAATAGTGAATAATATACCCTGGAAAGAAGCAATTGTATTAAAGCACATGGCTCAGTTGTGCCTGTGTGAAACATCGTAATCTGCTGATAATACTATATTGTTCTTGTTATGCCTATTACATTGGGTCGTGTCACGAGTCGATGTAGTCACCAGTCAGAGTACGGAACAATACCCAGTGAAATCCACCGAAGAAAATCACATGCGTACCTTCTATTTGAAATATACACGACCGACTAATTATCAATTTATTTCAAGAAGCGCATATAGCTAATTTCAATTAAATAGATGTACGAATGTCAGATTACAAAGGTCATCGGGTATGATATATTGGTCACGTGCTTTTGTAAGAGTTTCTAGTATGTGATCATTAATAAGTATCGCCTTGAGTTTTATATCTGAAAATTTACAATCCAATTCTTCGCCAGACATCGCGTTATTCCCAAATAATGTACAGCGACAAGTATAATCTTAGCCAGGGGTTGGATCAGTTTAGTCCAGCGCACCAGTGGAGTGGGGATTTTTTAATGGAACAAGAAATTATTTGTACAAACTCCCTTGAATGAGAGATGTCGCTGTGGATTAAAGGCTGTGTTAGCGGCACATAGCGGCGTTTCTTTAACCGCCGCGGATTACAAAAATCTCAAAGCTTACGTCAATTCGAATGTGGTACGTGTATTCACGACTTTAAGACATTCTGGAGGCGAAGTACGGCAACAAAATAGTAGTTTTTTTTTTTAATTCTATTTTTGATTGAGATAAAATGGTTGAAAATGCGCTAAATGTAAAAATATTTACCCTGCGCAGTCGAAAAACAAAACCTGTTCTATTGTCCTGCTATCACATTACTATACCATGATATATGGTATAACACTTTTATTACTTATTATATTACTAATTTTGGCTCACTCATTTGTTGGTGTTGTGTGTTGTTTGCTTTTTAATTTTGACAATGGTATATGACGTATGTCAAATCTGTGATTATGAATGTATATGAGTAAAAATATGACATTAAGTGAAATGAACTCAAATTTCGTGAGTAAGATTATCATAAATTCTGAATATGAAGCGTGCATGAGTATTTACAAGGACGTCAATGTTTTTAGAAATTGTATTGTAACGTGATTATAAATACCACTGCGATGATGAGATGCGTTGAGTACTTACAAGTATGTTTTTGCTTTTTTTATGGACATGTTTTTTTCTTTTATAATTACAATACCAAACAGGTTTATTTCTTAGTTTAACGCGCCTCTGGCCAGAACTGCATGAACGCGACATACATATGTACATCCGCACCCTTTCTTGCAAAATCGACATTTTTGTCGGACAGGGCAATGGATATATGTGTCAGTTACCATACTGGCTCCTCGCGATGAGGTAGTGATACGTTCGTTAAACCAAATGTTTTAAATGCCCGAATTAAAAATACTAGTATATGCGAGTATATATGCGATGAACATAGTCTTTGTAATATGTCATATATTCACGGATACCTTATAAATAAAACACTCCTACTTATCAAAAAATACAACGTGTTGTACTGTGATATTTTTACATGTGTTGCAATATGTCGATCTTTCGAATCTCGGATTGAGACCATTACCAAGTTAACACATCTCTGTTATTTATAACCGCATATGAACACGCTGAGAACGTATATAATGAGTGTTGCATAGCAACGCATATAATCCTACATTAAATAACATATCCAATGAATATAACACCCCCTGCAGTGGCAACTAACCCTCTACGTCTGTTAAGCTGCATCTGGTTCACAAATTAACAACTAGTCGAGGAGGCGGGTTGGTAAACACATTTAACAGATAGGGGAGCAGTGGAAAGCCTGTTAAATACGCACGATGAGCAACCAAATCCAACCAGGGGAACTCAGCGAACAAGTAATTTGTGTTATTAATGTTAATCTCTATTTTATGTTTAGTAATTCTCATTGTTATACCTTGATATATTGCGTACTTATAGTTACAGATATATGTAGTTAGTAAGTCCAATACAATGGCTGTAATGTTGCACGGTGTGAAGGTTGACTGTATAGTATCCTTATTTACAATGTTTCACAATGCATCGATAAGGGGTAGATATTGCATAAAATACGATTCTGGAATTAGACTATATATATTTTAGGAAAAGGAAGAGAATGAAGAAAAGAAAAGAAAGCGCCGTCGACGACTGGCATTAATACTGTCGCTCAGTAGTCTCGGTATACTGGCGCTGCTCGGCGGTGGCATTGGGGCCGCAGTGGGTGGTGGTACCGCAGCAAGTGTTGGTAGGTACGAACCAGTGCGTTCATTTAATGTTCTTTCAACTGTTTATGACCGCTGACCGTTTTATGTTTGTTTGCCAATGAACATCTTTATTTTCCCCTAAAACCAACTACATCAAAGAAGCTATGTGTTACACTGAGAGATTTTACGTAATCCTGGGATCGTTTACGAGTCGGTCGGTCACTTATGAGGCAGTCCGTTATTAACATTTCGAATCGGTACTTCGGGAATTATCAATATAGTTACCAAATACGACGCGATGTTACGGTACATTCATGTTCCAATATACCGTAGTTATGTTTGTTTCTGCCTAACAATATTTCAAAGTGTACATGTTTTGTTTTTTATGAGATCCTAGTTTTCAGTAGTACATATATGACATGTTTATTTTAGACATTTTAATTTACGTTTAATTGAAACTACCATAAATGCATTTCTTGTACGTATTCCATTCCACGGACAAAAAGGAAATTTCGAAAAAAATACATACAGAATTACGCATCAACAACGTTTCATCAAGCGACGGTTGAATTCACCCTAAACAAAAATACTCAACCTATGCCCTAATCTCACATCAATTAAGTTTCCCAAATATTGCCATCAGCGTATACACATTTGGTATTGTATGTGGATTACGAATTCTAAACACGATTCAGCCTTACGGTCGCTATATAAGATGTCTCACACATTGTTGTGAACATACCATGATTATACTTTGCTCTAAGTCATCGCCGGCCATTGTATATTTCGGGTAACGCAGCGCCGTTGTTATTAAGTTTTAAATTTCGTTGTTTGGTTGCAGGCAGAACATGTCTCGAGTGCGAGCAAATTTAAACAATTGGCATTGTGGTGTCGGCTGCATTGCCATTGCAAAACACAGATAAAGTTGAAAGTGCCGCGGGGGCCCACATTAATTGGGATTAATTCGCCAGCATTGTCGGGTGAATACTGAGTACGAGTCTTGTACTGTAACCATGCCTCGCGGTTCTTCTCAGCAACGTAGGTATAATAATCACGACGATGTTAGATCGGGTGTTGTGTACATGCAGTCGACGATCCCCATTTAAACACTGTCATTGATTCAGCTATATAATAAAGAAGCGTTTTGATCCAATAAGTTTTCACAATTTTAGAACATTGAACAAATGGACAAAACTCAACCAGAGTTATCTAATATGAATATTGAATACAACGCGAACATAAAAACAAAGTTAGTTTATCTTTGTTTATGCGCATGCGATTAGCGCGAAGTCTACCTTACGCATCTTCTCTGTTTTTTTTATAGCATGATCAATGGCGTTCCGAAAGCATTATGTGCGGAAAATAATGCATAAAACAAATTAGAGAATTTTTTTTTATTTATAGTTTTTGTTATAGTTAGTTTATCTTTGTTTGTGCGCATGCGATTAGCGCGAAGTCTACCTTACGCATCTTCTCTGTTTTTTATAGCATGATCATTGGCGTTCTGAAAGCATTATGTGCGGAAAATAATGCATAAAACAAGTTAGAGAATTTTTTTTTTTATTTATAGATTTTTATAGTTAGTTTATCTTTGTTTATGCGCATGCGATTAGCGCGAAGTCTACCTTACGCATCTTCTCTGTTTTTATAGCATGATCAATGGCGTTCTGAAAGCATTATGTGCGGAAAATAATGCATAAAACAAATTAGAGAAGTTTTTTTTTTTATTTATATTTTTTTATTTTCCACACAACGTTAACATAATAGTTTACAATAACAAAATCTTACGTAAACACGCAGAACAACTGAAAAGAAGAATGAGATGTGGGCTATTGTGGTGTTTTCTATTTTGTACCCTTCAATGCCAACTGTCATGTTTTGTTTGTGCTATTTCAATAATGAAAAAAATAATTTACAATTACAAAATAAAATTTTTAACCAGTTCACTACATTGATATATATAGAATTGAGCAGCGTTGACTGCTGGTGTTGAATAAGTGGCTACCCCTTAATCCAAATCTTAATTGGCTCTCATTTACGATAATGATATAATATTTTGTTTCTGTGGTTTGAATTTCTGTATGACACATAATACATAGAGCGGAGTTTAAAAGTTTTGAAAACGTTGTAATGTACTAGTACCTATGGATGATTTGAAACTGACAAGGTTATTATCATAGCAGAGATTTTCATCATGACGTAATCACATTGTAATAATGGATTGTACAATAAAAAACAGTGTGTCTTAGAACGACGACTCAAACCTTTAATTCGATTTTATGAATTCATTACAGATCATATGAGCGATGTGTCTGCTACTGAGACATTCTCTCATAATGCGTCTTCTACTGAGACTTCCACTATGGAGAATGTACATGGAAATACAGATAGAGCTACGTTATCGGAATCTATTAACGACACAGACGAAGTGATACATGAAACAACAGGTATATTCAATTTCGCGTTTCTTCTACCTCGTCCGTCTTTTGAATTGAAACAGGGTATTTAATCTTGTTCGTGTAGACAGGTGTACTGTTTGTTGTTTGACTTGTTTAAAATGTATTGTAATGCTCTAACAACTAGTCACGTGTCCTTCGAACGTCTAAAATAATAGAACATTTTCTGGTCACTGCGAGATCCCGCGTTATGCCTGCAACCAAACGTAAAAACAGGACAAACAAAGGTCATAGCGTCAAACATCGCGTGGGATTCAACAAACGCGAAATCATTTTGGGGGATATTTCCATGCTTAATAATGTGCTGTACATATTTGATGGTCAATTTCGATGAAGTAATGGTATTCAAAAGCAATATTCCACTGTCAAAGATCGGCCTTTCGATATGAGCTACGAAATAAAGAAATTTGAGTTCAAAATCAAATCACTCGATTTTTGCGGCAGACGTTCGGCGCGCGTCTTTCATGCAAAACGCGAGACCTCGCAGTTGAACGGAAAATCTCATATTTACAACCTTACATAAAGATTACGACATGTCAAATCACATACTACAGCCCACTGGTCTAGTTTGTACGTACAAATGTTTGTACGTCTAGATGATATGATTGCACGCAGAATGACTGTTTTCAGGCTATGATATTTCGTACTTGGAAGTGAAATTCATGGTCATCAGTATCAGCTACGTTGATTTCTACGGTGCCCAGGCGAATATATAAATCCAGCATTTAAATTGGCCTGGAAGCATATTTCAGAGACGGCCTCAATTTATCACCTAATATATTAGGTAAAACTTCAAAAACGTCATAAACCTGATTTCATTGACAACGTTCATTTACTCGGCTACAAAATCAATATTACAAGACACATAGAAAGGCGTGGGCATAAGTGTACGATACAAAATGCGCCCGTCATGCTGGGAATTTCCCCACAACAAGTAGATTTTTTTTTCTGTCGAATTGAAAACCATTGACCAAAAGTAATCGCTACAATGACACTTACATATGTTATCTATGCATTTTATTATATAAAAAATATTTCTAATTTTCATAAAACAAAAGACAACGGCTTTTAGTTTTATTGCATATGTATTACCATTGAAACTGTCTTGCGACTCTGTGTTTTTGAACGTTGGTCACGGTTTCCTAGTATCTAACATAATCGTCCATATTTACATTTTTTTTCAATCAATACGCCATATATTCAAATAACCCTCGAGATCTCGCAAAAAGCGAGAGACAAACGAAGTTTGATTTTACCCCATATTTAGTGTACCATTATTTTCCATCACCACATGTGTCTACTGTAAGACCGTTCCATATTAAAATGACTATATTCGTTTGTGTATGCCTTGTATTCCAGTCGCTCCAGGGACTTCATTTCCTAACATATTTCCATCGACAACTGAATCAAACGCGCCAGTGGAGTGTTCGCCAACCGAGTTCACGTGCGGTACAGGGGAATGTCTGCCAGTGGACATGACATGTAATGGCATCCGAAATTGTGGAGACGATTCTGACGAGATTGGGTGTCCAGGTCTGTGAATAATTGTTTAAAGGGCGGTGGTCGTTGCGCTGCGCATGTGCAACATTTGTGTTGATAAACATTGACTTTCCCACAATCCAATGCGCTCTTCTAATGTAAATCACAAGTATGAGGTTTGACCTACTAGGCACGACGTGCACTAATTACAGCCGGTGACTTCTTCGACAATTTCCAGTCACCTGAAAAAATTCTTATTAAAGATTGGTAACGTCTCAGATTGTACTCGTTATTCTGCGAAACAGTCAAAGTCGCTATCTTTGTTTACATGAGACCCATATATCTCGCGCATGCGTGGCGCGACGACAACCGCTCTTTAATTATTATAACTGTGTTATACTTTTAGCAAGTGTTGCCCAATTCTAGATTCAACATATTACATTACAACGTGACGCCCGAGATTACTATGTTAATCCCACTCACAACGCATGGATGCCGACAACTCGATGACCGAACAACTTGGACGCAATTACCGATGCTTCTATAAATTTTAAAGCAGGCTCGTCACATGCGCACGCGCGGGAATTGAGTCTCAAACGACGACAACAAATATGTTTACTCATGGATACACTACTTGTACTACCATAAATTTGCGAATTACAGGTATACTGTTTTGATCGCACCTTGTCAGAATCCCGAGATAGCAACGCGTCACGGGAGCACAGCAAACTGTTGGCGTAATTTCCAGTGTACTAAGAATCAAAGTGAATTGATTGTGTACGCATGCGCACGCGCATGGTTATATTCTTTTTCACGCGTATCCCCCAATCTGTCACCGTTTTTGCTCCAGAGCTACAAGAAAACAACTTATGCGTCAAGAAAACATTAATATTTGTTTTTACCATATTCAGAAGGATGCCTAGACACCCAGTTTGAATGTGAAAATGGCGTGTGTACGCCGCTAGGTTTTCAGTGTAACGGTGTTGTAAACTGTGGAGACGGTACAGATGAAAATGGATGTCAAAGTAAGTAAACTTTATTGACCTTATTGAGAATGGCCGCCGAGACATTGCTGAGAACGAGAAAGCTATGCGACTTATATATTTTTTATTTGTCTCATTGCATTCTCTACCGCAATCGCATCCACTGGTCTAAACACAATATGTCAGGCGAAAAGCGGTAGCATATTGATTACTCTTTGATGGGTAAATCAGATCTCGTAGCTCACTCGTTCTCAGCGAGATCTCAGCGACAATTTACGAATAAGTTTTATTGCCCCATAAGTACCGGAGATCGTGTGATAGCCATTCGAGATCCCAATGTATTTTTTTTCGAGATAAACTTGTTTTAGGATATTATAACATTTTTAACCTCCCAGGTTATTTTGAACCCACTGTTTATGTTTATTTAGATGTATGTTGCCTTAATATTAACAAAAATGTGTTGTCAGAATCAAGTGTCGTTTGATCGTTTTAGATTTTCATAATCTTATTATATTATGTTTATTTATCAATATGTAGCGTGCAGCCCTGAACAATTCACTTGTGATGATGGTAGCTGTCTTCCAGCGGAATACGCCTGTGACGGGATACTCGACTGTAGAGATTTCTCAGATGAGTTGTACTGTGAAGGTAGGTATATATTGTGTTTAATGGTAACGATCGAAAACACATCACAGGTGATCGTCCTTTTAAATATGCCTATAATTGCGCCATCTATGGTGAAAACAAGACATTTTTAATTAATAAGTCTTTAATATTAATAACTATTATTTCAATATCTATCGCCAAAACAATATCGTATCCACTTCGAAACCAGCGGGAAAATATCAAAAGTCGTTACAAGACGGAAGTATTTGTAATAAATAAATAAATCATTATTATTTATTTACAAAGCACAGTTGTAAATAGAAAATATTTGACCTTTGAATCGGAAGCAAAAGATACCAAATCTTATAAAATATCGAAAGTCACCCCAAGATATGCAGATTCTACTATTTATACATAACCCAATAGAGATATAAATGGGAATATGATTACCTATGCAGACGAAACTTTCGATTAGCTACAGAATTTCGAAAAAGAATATATTTATGGGAGTTTTGTTTTTCACTATGCTATACATAAAAAATGCAATCACGGGATAAATAAAGTTACTCACCTTGTTGTTGCTTAGTTATTACTTCTTATTTATTTATTAAAATGATATCAATCATATTATTGTTCATGAAATTTGAATTGGGTATAGTGTTGTTCACGTGTTTAAATGTCAGTGTCAACATTTGTGCACACACATTTTTGTCCGTAGAGTGTGCAGACGACGAATTCCGCTGCTCATACCGTGTGTGTATTCCCCAAGCAGGGGCATGTGATGGTGTGAATGACTGTGACTTCGATATCGTCTCCGATGAGGCGTATTGCAGTAAGTGAAAAAAACAATACATTCTTTGTGACACAATTCTCATCAGGAAAGTTAAAAATGACAAAATTCATCATAGTACTTCGACCTAAATTATCTTGTGGATTTAGTTCCGCAACCATGTACTGTATTTTATCTGTTTTGGTTATTATCAAATTGATATATATTGCCCGTTTTTTGAGTTCTGTTATCGTATTTCATAATCTACGTAGTAAATATTCGAAACTCCTATGTAGTAGCACATATGGAATCACAATATAATGTCACATGCCTAGTATATATTTGGTAATCTATCTTAGATGTAAATGGCCGCCGAAAACTCTTCAACTACGAGAAAACCATAAAACTGGTTATCGACCCTAATATAGTATGTCATTCAGTCCCTTCACCGCGCCCACTATACAGTACCGATTGTTACACAGACCAGTTGAACGATAGATGCTATGGCGGAAGAGAATGAATGACCCACCAGCTAGACAATCTCGTCGTTCTCTCTCCCCCGACGAGAACTCCACGGCAACTTGCATTTAAGGTCGATTGAATGTGAACATTATGTAGCTGGAAATACTTAATTTGCCAGTTGTTTGGCTCCTGTTTATACACATTCAGCATAGACACTTTTCTTGTCGTGTATGTTTATTTGGAAGCACACCATTGTAACTTACACGGACGATAGTAGTCATTACATGTTGCCTTATTCGGAATCAGGAACTACTTTTACTCAGCAATGTCTAAACACTAAACACATGACGACCTCAATCTTTTTCATCAAGCGAGGTTAAAGATGTTAAAATACCCATCATTTCAAATACAATAGAAATGATATTCATAGCTTATATATTCTGGAAATTTGATTTGTAATTCCATGTTCTCGTATATTACCTTTCGTATCACGCAATATAATGGTATTTACAACACAGCTTGCAACGAAGACGATTTTCAGTGTGCGGATGAGCGTTATTGCATCCCAGCCGCTAAGGTATGTGATCGAATTCTAGACTGCAGGGATGATTCTGACGAATTTGGACCACAGTGTATGTGTAAGTAAAATCATCATTCTCCTTATCTACTCACTAGAATCATTTAGAAAAACAAAACAACACAGAATACACAGAATTGAATGAGATAGAATAGAATAGTCTTAGAATAGAATAGAAGCTGAATTAAAATTCAACAGAATAGATCTAAAAGAATAATATAGAATATGACCAGAGCAGAACAGAACAGTGAACGAAACAAAATAGAACAGAACAAAAAAAATAGAACAGAACAAAATAGCACAGAACAGAACAAAATAAAACAAAACAGAACAGCAAACAAAACAAAATAGAACAGAACAGAACAAAATAAAACAAAACAGAACAGCCAACAAAACAAAATAGAATAGAACAAAATAGAAGAGAACAGAACAGCGACTAAAACAAAATAGAAGAAAACAAAAAAAAATAGAACAGAACAAAATAGCACAGAACAGAACAAAATAAAACAAAACAGAACAGCAAACAAAACAAAATAGAACAGAACAGAACAAAATAAAACAAAACAGAACAGCGAACAAAACAAAATAGAATAGAACAAAATAGAAGAGAACAGAACAGCGACTAAAACAAAATAGAACAAAACAGAACAGAACAGCAAACAGAACAGAACAGCGAACAGAACAGAACAGAACAGAACAGAACAGACAGTAAGAAATTGTTACCATATATGGACTTGTTATTATTTTCGCACAGGGTGCAGTGTTGACGAGTTCACGTGTGATGATGGTAGCTGTATCCAACCAACGAGTGTCTGTGATGGAATAAGCGACTGTTCTGACTTATCAGATGAAGCCAATTGTGGTATGGTTTCTAGTATAAATTGTTTCAAATCTCACAATGTACATTATTCATGAACTACTGACGTCGTGTAAAAAGTTGAACGTAGTATCCAGAATTACAGTTAGTCTTGTGTAATAAATCTAATCTTGTAGAGTTCCAGATGAGATACCCTGGTTATCCAATGTGTTCTTTTCGTTGCTTTTAAAATGTACTAACAAACACCGAGCACGAAACTCGTCAGCGCGTAAGCAAATACATTTCGTAGAACGTTTTGTCTAATTTTTATCATTGTTCATAAACACGTATTACCATAACTTTACGTTTACTCTAATGCGATAGCTAAAGTGTCGTACATATATCAGTCAGCTTCTTTCAGTTATAATTCATATAGCAAATTATCTTTTTTCTGTAACATTCATGTGTAATTGGTAATTAAGAAATTTGTCATTAGCATATGAAATATATTTTGTAATTTTGTCGAGATCTCGTTTAAAACGAGATAGTCACGAGACTTTATTTTTGCCCCTTAAACAGTGTTCCATTTGTTCAGGTCATCGCTTTTATTGTTCCAAATACCATGGTTGCAACGGAATAAAGTAGGCGATGACGTGATAGAATGGAACATCATTTGGCAGAAAGTCGCGAGGTGAAGTCACAAGGCTCTCTCGTTCTCAACGAGATTTCGGCGGCCATTTGCATTACGACGATTGCTATTCCTCGGAATAGAGATTTTACTGTGCTTTACAATATTCTTACAGAATTGTGTTTGTATCAGCCATAATTTGAACTATTCTGATATAACCACGTTCATATTCTTATTTTTATTTTGAAAACAAGATACGCGATGTGGACCAGGCCAGTTTGTTTGCAATGATGGCTATTGTCTAGGGACAGCGTGGGTATGCGATGGGATATATGACTGTCCAGATCAATCAGACGAAGGCGCTCACTGTAGTAAGTACACGAAGACGAATTATGGGTTCAAGACGAATATTGTAAATCCTTTATATGACAGTGTCAGCGTTCTTTTCGATGACACAAATATAGGACATGCCCAGAGTAGAATAACTGTTAATTACCTGCAGCCCAGTTATACTCACCTTATTTATTGAATTTCCAAATCACTGGAGTAGATTTACCTGATGTCATATTAAATATTCGAGTGACTATTATTGCGGACAATTAGGTTTGCTGCCCTCTATGCATAATTAGGACAACTAATTTTGATTATTTGTTCCACTTAATGTTACTCTTATAAGCTGATCATTTGTATTGGAGATTCTGAAGACTAATATGCTATTTTGTTGTTCCCAATAGTATATTGCAATTATTAATTCTACAAAAGTACATGTTCTGTACGTTAGATGTTGACTAGGTTATAATTCACATTTTTGAAAAAGATTTGGATCAGTTTGCCATGGTGACAACACTTTTTGGAAGGTTTCCTTACTATCACAACATAGCAGTGAAATAATAGTCAGTTGTCTCGAAAGATGGGTTTCATGGTTTTTCAGAAGGGGTTACTTTTTGACTAAGAGATTAGGTTTTCGGAGAGATCTCGATCTAATTGCAGACTACTGTACACATATTTTTGAAAGTATTTCTCACCGTTGCACAGTTATGAAAAATGTTCGTAACATAGAGGGGCTGCCCCTATGAATAAGACCCATCGATGGCATTTTGAGATGCGTCCCAATCGTGTCACCATGGTGACACCAATATTGGAAAGATTCTTCATAATTGCAGAATAACTAAACAAAATTGCTATGGGTATTTGCTTGGCGCATGTTTTGCTGTCTAAGAATTAGTGTACCATAATGGTTGTTTCTGTGATTCTGAATAAAAGCACCGATACTCAACACTCGTTAATCTAGGTTAGTACTCCTCGGCAACATTTATTTATGAATATTTACTGTTACCTGCGTATTATATGTGTGCACGATGTCTCAATGCCCGGAACTTGGCCTTTGTTTATCAGCTGGTTTCGGACTGCTCGTGCTAGAAAAGAGTAAATGATATGCCTGGGACAGTGCGGTTGGTCTAGTAGAGGGCTTGTCTGACTTCGAATAATTTGGTCTAGTCCGTTCATAAATATTTAGAATCATTATTCGTTTTACATGCGTTCATTCATAAACGTGTTTCACTCTTTTTTGAGGCTTTTTATTATTTTGTTTCAGCGGCGTAATGTCAAGTAAACAACTATGATGATCTGAAGAAACATCGTGTTCAACATTCGGCAACCTAAGACACCGTTTCCATCACCGGGAATTCATTGAAATTTACTCGTTACTGTCATCAAAACCTGTCTGCAGACAACCTTGATGTGCGTTTTTCATTTTGTTAAGTTGTTATTCAGACTTATTTTCATTTCTTAGTTATCGTAACTCATATAGTGTTTCTGGCAATCGCAAAGTAATATCACACCGCAATAATTCATTTAATTTGCATTTCTGTTTTTGTTTTGTTTTTTACTAACACAAAATATATTTTGTCTGTATTATTGTTTGCAATATATTTATGAATTTTGACCATACAGTACCTTCAAATGGTACTTGTAGAAAAATAAAGATATTATTTGGTGTAAGTGATAAAGTAGTTAATACTCCAGCACCTAAAGCAGTATTCTCGGGAGCGAACATCCGGGCATGTTTAACGTTCGAAAACTCTGGCCTAGTTGTTGAGATTTTTCTGAACCTCTGCAACATATATACATTTGGTTTATCATGATTGTCCCATAGTTGAGTTTCTGTTCTTTTTGACTTTTCACAAGTACCCCGTGTGGCTTTCTACATCAGCTCGCGTAAAGTCTATTAAGCACATATTGCATGGCCATGGGGGCACCTGCGGTCTCGTGAAATAGCAGATACTGTTACCCCTCAAGGAAAAAGACGTGAAACTAGTGCCCGAATTAGGCTATGTAATATGTGTTTTATCACACATTACATGTAGAATTACCGGAGGAACGTGCATAGATCGTCTGCCGTCTTCTTCTCGACGTCTGCTAGCGGTGTCTCGATTTCTTCACAAAACGATGTTAAGACGTTTCTAGAAAACCTGATTGCATCCTTCGTCTTCGGTGCATCTTTATTTTCTACTAGTGTGTCAAGTTCTTCTTCTGAACTGAAGCTAAATCGTCCAGTCTTTCGAGGCGGACCATCAATATCAGCGACGGAACTAGCAGACGACATATTGGGAATCACAAGATCAGGTGACGAGCGACGTCATCCCCGGGCACCAGTTGATGTACTAGTCTCCCTAGGGAACTAGTAATTTTCCTGGCGCTACTATGGTAATTTAGCCGATAACACGTGATCCTGTTTTGACCAATTACAATACAGTATTAACGATTGATGTGTTATAAAGAAATATATTGTACGGTAGCAACAGAGAATGCTCTGTGACATAGCCCGGTCCCCTGAGAATAATTAACTTGTATTTTTATTACTATATATTTTGTCCAAAATAAAAAAAAATATATATAGAAAACAGACGGAAAAAGATAAGTCTTTCAAAGGCCCCCTTTTTGGTGCGCTGCATATATAAGTGTTTTATAATTATCAGCTTAGATTAATCTTAAATACAGGGGGATTGGCGCGAGGGGCGCCGTCCAATCTGGGTGGAACGTTTCGAAATTAGTCGTCCGTAGAACATCGTCGAATCAACAACGTCCCTTCTTACGAACAGATGAAATAATTTCATTGTTTATTTTACAGAATAATTCTCAACAAATCTTTGAAGCATCACATAGAAATGTACACAGACTCTAACATTTTGTCTATTGCAAAACAATTCAACTGAAAACCAGTTTGAGGGAACAAGTTCCTTGCTTGATTGAGTTGTAAGCGTGATCTTATTGCGATCAAAACTGCTTCATTTCAAACTGCGCATGCACACACACTGTGGTTTCTCGAAATGCATACTAATAAGGTAACTTGTCACTGGTAAAATTTATTGAAAACATTTTGAAAATTTTTCGAGCAATTGTGCTAGAGTGAAATGTTAACGTGCCTCTGCATTCTCCTTGAATTTCGTAACTTGCGATGATCACGTTAAAGAAAAAAACGGTGGTTACTTTCAACAGTTTGCTCGATTCAGATCAAAAACGTGCCTCCAAAACACTTTTAAATCAGTTTTTCTATTATTTTTGTCATAGAATCAGTCAATTTATAACTATCATATATGCTCTCGGAAGCCAGTTTTGATTATTTCAACCAATCGTGCAATCCCCTTGCTTTAATTAATTGCATTTTTAGTGCACAAAAATATATTCTGCTGTTTTCTGTATGACGTCCGAACTTCGGATTGTTCATGTTAATTTAGTTATTGTAAGTGCGTGTGCACAAAAAACGTTTTTAAAACTAATTTGGAAGCAGAATCAACACGTTCATATACACATAGTTTACTCTTTATATACTAATACATCATGTCCTAAATCCATCGGCTTTTTTGTTGTTTTATTCACAGATATAAATATAATTTCGATAACCGTGGGCGTAACAGGTTGAGTCGCTCTGACATATCCCCGACATGCACTATTGGACAATTTGGTATATATAAATCGGAAATTTCCCCGGGTTATCTCTGCAGTCTGACACCGGCATTTCATATCGTCAATTTGTGTTCAACTACATAAAATTGGTAGTAGTCGTCTTATATTTTAAATCATGTTGAATACAGTCAGTTTAATATATTTTTTTCAAAGCAAAAATAGCCAAATCAAAGAACGATGTTGCGACCTGCAACATGGTCACTTCGATGGAAACAATCTTTCTTCTTTTTTGTGACAATGGTTATTTCTGCAGAAGGTACATTTACTTGATTGTTGTGGATGAAAACATTTACGTCGAAGAAATAAATATAGTTTCTCTGGCCTAGCGTCGACTCGTCGTTAATATATCGCCGCCAGTCATTCTTCATAATTTAAAAAGTCGTCGAAGTTGATTTTTATTAAATATCGTTAAGAAGGGAACTATTGCTAACCCTTGTTGAAATCCATAACCTTCTAGGTTTCAAATCAATTGCCAAATCGAAAAACAGCCATTTTTTTTATTCAGACTGTTAGCTGTGTTCAGACACTACACTACACCACACTACACCACACTACACCACACCACACCACACCACACCACACTACACCACACCACACCACACCACACCACACCACACCACACTACACTACACTACACTACAGTCAAATCAGCAAAAAGGTATATGGACTCCATTGTATATTTTATGGAATGATGTCAGGTGTTACTAGAAGAGTGAGTAAATCCTATTCTACATGTTGAACACATCATACATGAATCTTGAGTCGCGAATAAGTGGGTTCTGTTTTAAAAATGTAATATTGATGCAAACTGAGATCGTCTTACCACCACCAGCTCATTTTATCTGCCAAACAAATTGAAAGTTAAAGTCAGTTTCTCTCTACAATTGTACCGATTGATCTCAAATATATTTCCCATACGTAATTTGAAAATTGCTTCAAACATGAGATGAGTCATATTGATGATATTTATACTAAAGTCCTCTTTCATGTCATAAAGTCGAGTAAAAATACATGTGTAAATATGAAGCCTCTTATCCTAAAGTTCAACTGTGTATCTCATTGAAAATTAATCACTATTTTTAATATTGCTTGTGGAAAATACATCATCAATAAATCGGAATATGAAATTAAATAATTTGGTTTCTATTGTTTTTATTATGTGAATTATTAAAACAAAATGCCCGAAGGACAATGGTGTTTATTATGCGTGACTTTATTCATCATGTAGTTTAGTAGTATATAGGTTGTAAAAATTAAATGTGTAAATAAATAAATATTAATATTTTTTATATGTGTGAAATACTTTTAAAGTGTTATAAATTGTAAAACTGTACAAAACACTTTTAGTATCAATTGAGTGCAATTTGCAATCTTGCAAACTTGCTTGCCCCTGCAACAATGTACTTTCTTAATTGAATATCTGAAACAAAAACAATAATATTGCAATTAATAATGGTCTGACTCTGTATAACTCAAGCATAAGCATTACATGTTTTTAAGATATATATAAACACTGTGTACACGATATTTGTGCGTGCGATTCGTGACGACTATGAAGCGCTGCGTGACGTGCTGAGTGGCGACTACGCCGCGTTACCATACATTGTACTTACCGCGCAGTAAGTCGCATTCTCATCACTGGTGTCAGGACAGTCGAAAACGTTATCACAAGTCCGGTCTATTCGAACGCAGAAACCATCATTACATTTGAATTTCCCAGGCCCGCAAGAGGTATCTGAGAAATTGAATTTCACAGTACATGTTATGCTTAAGGTATTTAACGCGGGGAGTCGTCACCTGCGCATGCGTCAGGTGGCCATAGCGTGTCATTGTTTACAAACAAGCGTCTACCCATGAACCTTTGCGTTCTTTTTTGTGTTTTTTCGTCGCTTGGGACTCAATTCCCGCGCGTGCGCAGGTGACGATCCTCCCGCTTTTAGTAAAAAATAAAAACGTAATCACGTTTGATAATGGTAATAGGAAGTTTATAAAGCGATAAAACGTCAACAAACAAATCAAAATATATATTCTACTACATCTAAATCTATTATAAAATATACAAATGCTATATCGACACTGTCTTATAATACGACAATGTAATACACAGGACTACTCGTGAAAATAACTTTCACATCTCTACATATGCCAGTGCAAGTTCCGAGATGCTGGATTGTTCGATTTACGGACATCGAATTACGAACATCGAGTTGCGCAAACATCGAGTTCCCAAAATGACCACGCCCATATTTCAGAAACCCTGCCCAAATTGAAACTCGAACTTTAAATAAGAGTTAACCGAACTTCGAATTACGGAAAATATACAACGTTAAACAATTATCTATGTCTCGCGATCGGTTAACTGTTAATTTCAGTTTGAGTTCATAATGTGTACGTTCAACAAAACAAAAATATATGTTGCCCGTAACTGGAAGTTTTGTTAACTGTTAATCGATCATCGAACTACAATTTGGGCGTGGTTTCGCAAAAGTGGGCGTGGTTTCTTAAATAAGGGCGTGGTCATATTTGTACCTCGATGTTTTCGTAACTCGGCGTTCGTAACTCGATGTTCGTAACTCGATGTCCGTAACTCGAACAATTTGGCATCTTGCAAGTTCCTGTCGCTCTATCATAACATATGCAAATCGGGTTTACCTACCACAGTCTGTCTCATCCGCATTGTCCTCACAGTCGCTTACACCATTACATATACTGGACAATGCGATGCATTTAGTCTCGTCGCAATTGAATTGAGTCACATTGCACCCTGGGAGTAACACAGTAAACAATAAGCCAAATATGTTATTGTAACGACTATTCAGGGAGCTATTTCAAAAATAGCTCAAATAAGCGAAATCGTACAACAACCAGTACTGAAATGGTTAGACACAATATTTTGGGAGGATAAGTCTTTCTGAACATTTCTAGGTAGTATGTA